AGCTTCGTGAAGACAGCATCGTAGACAAATACAATGCAGGGCCCCGCCGTGGTGGTCTAGTGGCTAAGGTACTCGGCTGCTGACCCGCAGGGCGCGGGTTCGAATCCCGGCTGCGGCGGCTGCATTTACGATGGAGGCGGAGATGTTGTAGGCCCGTGTGCTCAGATTTGGGTGCACGTTAAAGAACCCCAGGTGGTCTAAATTTCCGGAGCCCTCCAGTACGGCGTCTCTTATAATCTTATAGAGGTTTTGGGACGTTAAACCCCACATATCAATCAATCAATCAATCAATAAATCAATCAATCAATCAATCAAATACGATGCAGGCTAATTTTTGGCCCAAACAAGATGGCTGCTCATGGAAATGCTCGGATAGCTCTGATCTCGCCGGAACGGCCATGTGCGCACATGTAAGTGCTTTTGGAGGTGCTGCATATTATTAAAGTTCAGTGTTTTACAGGTTTGAACACTCAGTATGTTAAAGAAATGACAGTTATTTCTTTAGCTTCCTTTTCTCGACGCGAGGTGACGTCTCGCCATGTAGGCGTCTTGTAAACGCGTTCCATTTCTCGGACAGCATGGACTCAATGCTGTCTTCTAAGCTGTCAGCGTAGACTGTCTACGATGCTCTCTTGAACTGGAAGACAGACCAAAACACAGCAGCAAACGAAAGTACAATTGCTATTAAAGTTCTGCAAAAACAACGACGAAGCGAATCCGCGTATACTACCCATCATTCTCACGGCCACTGAACGATCGCAGCACCTGAGTCCCTTCTAGGTAAATTTAAGGAACTTTATGGTCAAATGTGGTTTAATCACGGAAGCAATGTGAAACCAGGTGAGCTGCCTGCGATTTTGAAGGGTGCGTAAAACCATTTTATGTGCCGAAATACGTTTAAATGTGCCGGAGCGGCATCGGTACATGGGCTGAAAAGCAAAAGGAGATAACATTCGCTTTCCAGTCATCATAAGTGCATGCATAGGGACTGTGCGAGTTTTTATTAATATGAGGATGAATGGATGGAAATAACTTTATTTACACGTCCTTTACAGGGTGTAGCCACCTTTCTGGCCAATCCCACGTCAAGTGCTTTTGCAAAAAGAACAGCGCCCAATATTTGCTTGAACAGAGAACACCTCGTCTTTTACACGAGCGGCTGTTGAACTTGATGTCTCACTGCGAGGCCGTTGCCTTCGCTACGGTTCACACTGACAGCTGTTTTCTTCGAAACACGGTTGACGGTGTTCCAGTGCAATGACTGAGGAGCGCAGTCACGTGCGTTATTCTTTTGTATGTTCTGGCTTCCTCTAAACGCTGCTATAAATCACAGTACAGCATACACTCTGCCACAGAATAGTCGATTGTGCATTTCGGAATTCTTTGTACAACTGAATGAAACGCTCTTATTGCTAAAGTTAATGCCAAAACGTTCTTACCAATGAGCTTACGGCACTAATTAGGCACCATATATTAATTGTCCGAGGAAGGCCCAGTGATGCCAAACCATACTTTCTTCTTTTCGCTCAGCCACGAATGCCACCTTCCTAGCACGCCTTATACAATGCAGACACGTATAAATGCTCGTTCCCTCTTTCTATTTCTTTTTGTCACAATGCACGAGAAGTCAAGATGTACGGCTGCTGACTCGAAGGTCGTCTTTTCGATCCCAGCTGCAGTGGTCATAATTTGGTGGATGTAAAATGGCTGACACTCATGTACTGTCCGATTTCAGTGCACGCTAATGAGCACACCTGATGGTTGAAGTTTCAGGTACGTTCTACCAAGGCGCCACTCACTATCAAATTGTGGTTTCAGGACGTAAAATCCGAGATAATATTCCTTATTCTCGTTACAAGTTTTATTCCCATTTCCCAATCTCTCTGCGTAAGTCAGCCATCGGGACATCGTAAGCTTCCCTGCCTAGTGACTACGTTTCATTCTATCACACACGCACACATAGTCACACACAAATATGGGCGCACACATGTATGTATGTATGTATGTATGTATGTATGTATGTATGTATGTATGTATGTATGTATGTATGTATGTATGTATGTATGTATGTATGTATGTATGTATGTATGTATGTATGTATGTATGTATGTATGTATGTATGTATGTATGTATGTATGTATGTATGTACGTACGTACGTACGTATGTATGTATGTATGTATGTATGTATGTATGTATGTATGTACGTACGTACGTACGTACGTACGTACGTACGTATGTATGTATGTATGTATGTATGTATGTATGTATGTATGTATGTATGTATGTATGTATGTATGTATGTATGTATGTATGTATGTGCGTGCGTGCGTCTGTGTGTCGGTGTGTATGTAGGTAAAGGGTTACAAGGTTGCTAGTGCAGCTTGCAGCAGGCCTACAATAATCAGCACGCAATACACCAACCAGACTACTTTTCCATGAAGCGCGTATGATATTAGCTCTGTAAGATATTAAAGGTCGATAATTTTATTTAGGCACTTTTGTCTAGAAAAGAGTGTCCCGGACCCACTTTATTCCGGCGAGGGCAATAGCAGAGTCTTCCGTAAAGATGCTGTGCTTCCTTGAGCAGTTCTGGAAGACGAATTTCTATTGTACTCTAAGCATGATAAGGAGTATCACATTTAGGGAAACACATCTCGTGTTTTTTTTATAAACTAACGCTAATGTGCCATTACAACAAAAACACTGAAACATTGTAACCTGTACAAAGAGGGCATTTACCTTGCCCAAATTATACACAGTGCTTTGCGAGCAACGTGAATGAAACCTGCATGTTTTACCGCCAGCACATTAGACTGCAGCAGTTTCTCACGGCAACATGCGGGTAACAAGTTACACCCAGGTTACAGTGCTCAACTGCTAACTCGGAAGACGCCGGTTTCTGGCACCCTTTGGCGGTCGCATTTTAATAGAAGCGAAACGCAAGAAGCCCTTGTACTGTGCGATCACACCCGGAGGCCGAGAATTATCGGCAGCTTTCAATCTATAACCTCGATCATAGCCCGTGTCTCTTTGGAGTGTCGAAAAACATAAACAAACCAACAACTCTTTTATTATTTTTATTTTAGCGTGTCGGTTTTACTCTCTCAAAAAGAAACGGAAAAAGTCACGTTCACGCTGTTTTCAATTCGAAGAATTTTTAATGAATTTCGGCGTCTTTGCGCTTATCTATCTATCTATCTATCTATCTATCTATCTATCTATCTATCTATCTATCTATCTATCTATCTATCTATCTATCTATCTATCTATCTATCTATCTATCTATCTATCTATCTATCTATCTATCTATCTATCTATCTATCTATCTATCTATCTATCTATCTATCTATCTATCTATCTATCTATCTATCTATCTATCTATCTATCTATCTATCTATCTATCTATCTATCTATCTATCTATCTATCTATCTATCTAGCGCCTGTGACTTTTAGCTCTCCTGGCCGTTTCGATAACGGTATCAATAAAAAACTTGGTATGGCATAAGATGACTGTATGAAGAACATATTGGACTAATCAGAACATGAAAATCATAACATGGATTTCATAAATGTCGTGATTTTCATATTATGATCCCTCAGTCCTTGCAGTGGTTTCGTTCACATGTCATGTTGCAAAACTGGCATGGTATGACATGATTGCATGGCGAACACAAACGACAAACCCTAACATAAAAATCATGACACGCGTGTCACGTAACAACATTACTACATGCCACGATTATGATGCGCTCGCGGCTATTGCGCTAGGTTCTGATGTACCTAACTCGGTATTGTGTGACGCGAACGGACGACATAGGTAAATGACGCATCCAAACATGATAACAAAGACATGCGTGTCATATAACAACATGACTACATGCCACACTCACGATGTGCTCGCGGCCGTTTCGCTAGCTTCACTTGTGCCAAATTTGGGATTACATGACGCCAGTGACTGATGAAGGTATGTGACTGGTGGAAACATGATAATCATGAGGTGCGTGTCATGTGAGAACATGACTACATGCCACAGTCAAGGGGCCCATACATTTTGAAGTGACGCGCTGCTGGTGCTCACCGGCGTTCATTTCGTCGGGACACGCCGGTGTTACATCGCCAGGCACCGGTCCGGTCATATATATACTCGCCAGTGCGCGCCGGGCTACATTTCTTTGACGTATGCGCGTTTTAGCGCAATCGGTGTCCCTCAGTCACGAAAAGAGGGCGACGCATCTGTGCGAAATGCAGCATGTTGCATTGCGCGTCGGTGGCCGTCAGGCCACGCCGATGGACGCTGGCCGCGCCTGTCACGCCTGCCGTGAGACTGTAGAGTGCTCGCGTTTTGCTAACGTGAGCGTCGCTGTGCCCAGCGTGCGCTCGCGTCAACGCTACAATGGAGTATATTGGGCCCTTTATGATGTGCTCGCGGCCGTTTTGCTAGCTCTACATATACTAAATCGGGTGTTACGTGGCGCGAATGATTGATAAAAGTATGTGACTGGTGCAAATATTAAAATCCTGATACCCGTGTCATGTTAGAACATGACAGCATCCCACAATCATAGCGTCTCGTGGTCGTCTCGCTAGCTCCACATATACTAAACTTGGTATCACGTGACGTGAATAGATGATGAAGGTAAACGATACATGCAAACATAATAATCATGACATGGAAGTCATGTACGGCATCATTTACCTCCACCTCGCAACATTGTGCTTTCATATCAACCTTTCTCATTCGTGCTTCGCATATCATCGATTCCCATTGTGTGTGGAACGTGCCAATTTTTTTCGTTTACTTTTTGTTTTAAAAACGGGAAATTTAAGGACAGGAGGAGGAAGCAACAAAAAGAGAGAAGGCAGGAAGGTTAACCAGAAAGACATCCGGTTGGCTACCCTACACTGGAGGACAAATTTTAAAAATGACAAGAATGTCTTTTTTTAATCTAGTATGCCACTTACAACTCCATCGTGGTAGAGACCTCGTGGATCTTCAATGTTCTTCGCGTCTATCCAATCCTACAAAATCAAACAAACTGAATCAGAAAGTTACGCCGAGTTAAAATTTACACCGGCATCATCGAGTCACATGTGCGACCTCTAGTTTGCGTGATTAAATCCCGGTGGCGGCGGCTGCATTTTCGATGGAGGCGAAAATGCTGTAAACCCGTGTGCTCAGGTTTGGGTGCACGGTAAAGAACCCCAGGTGGTCTAAATTTCCGGGCCCCTCCACTATGGCGTCCCTCATAACCGTATGGTGGTTTTGGGACGTTAAATCCCACGTATCAATCAATCAATCAATCAATCAATCAATCAATCAATCAATCAATCAATCAATCAATCAATCAATCAATCAATCAATCAATCAATGACTCAATCAATCACACGTAGAGATGGCATAGTAGTCACGTTTACATGTTAATATGCGCTAGTAGTCTCTAACACGCACACCAAGCTTGTTAGAGAGCAGCATTTACTGTGATATAGCGCAATGTGATATAGCTCAAGTAAGCATTTGACGTTATGTGATTCGCGTGTTGGGAAGTAGCCATTATAAAGGAAATTTATAATTACTCGAGTTTGATACAGCCGGGTTTTAGTGTAAAAAGCTAGACGTACGTGCGAATATTATGTTGTGACAAATTGTGGAAATAGCGATGCTTTTTATCAATTTCGTTGAAAGTACTACAAATACTGACCGGATTCAGGACAGCGGTGAATACCGATGCCATTTTGGCGACACATTCATACACCTCCTCTCTGTAGGCGTCAGGCCCCTGTAGGGAATGTTTTTGCAGAAATACCAATCTTTTAAATTCATTTGCTGGTTTAATTTGTAGCGATAGACAATTTTTCTTCTCGCATACGTGGTTGCTTTCTGGAAGCTCTGTATTGGTCAAGGTGTTATTGACTCCTTTATATTATTGATTTATTACTGTCCATGAAAAAAACGTTTTGCAGTATAAGTTCACTTAAGGCAAGGCGTTGCAGGACAATTTCGCGGTACACTATAGCTGAAAACATTCCAGCCCTAATTATGGCGAGTACAATATGGAGAAATCTCTGGCAGGTTCAATTCAATAGAGGCGCTAAAATACTTTCAGTAAACGGTGCGCCTTATAATGTGCACACCAGGAAGGAACAAAAAGCAGCAAAAGTTCAACCTATTCTCTATAGTACACATGTTATCAATTTAATCGCGTATTAGACAGCCTCCAGGATGACAGATTTTTCGGACCTCCGGGACAGACAGATGCACTTTTACTCACAAGGTATGTACAGGGCAGCTATTATTAATCAGACAAAATTCACCACAGAAAAATAAAAGCCAGTGGGGAATAAAATGACTTATGCGGGCTTGGTCACGTTGTGCTGTTATTGTACAGGGCGTCCCAGTTATCACGCAGCGCGATTAAAAAAGGAAACGTCTTTACGTGAATCAAATCTAGTGCATATTCTTGCTAGTGCACTGTAGTAGCCCCTACTGTTTTTTCTGTGATGACAAATAATTAATCATAATCATACATCGTAACTCAAAAAAGTACTCGTCTAGTTACCGGTATACCAAAGAGGCAGCTGTGCGGTTGCTGAAATGACATCTGTCTGTGCTATCTCCAACAATGTACTAATTGTGAGCTTTTTTTCTGTTAATGTAGAAAGCCCGCCAAAAACGAAAAACAACACGTGAATAGACGTGTGGCAGCTTGGGCCAGTTCATATGACATGACGATAGTTATAGTACGAGAACAGAATGACGACACAGAGGCAAGTGTCCTTCGTGTCTTTCTTGACTCTGTGTCGTCGTTCTGTTCTCGTGCTATAACTATCGTCGTGAATAGAAGGCTGCACGCATCAGAAAGAAGTGCCATCAAACAAGCTCACTTTGAGATAGCCAGTAGCAATTAGGGAATTGTAGAATCAAAAACATTCACAGCATATCCACGGAGTGAATGATGATTGGTGGGGCGAAGTGCTCATCAGTCCGTCCGTGCTTTCGTCCGCTTATTCTTTCTTGCTTCCTCCCTTCCATGCGTCCGTTCATGTGTCCGTCCATCCATGTGACCATTGGTGCATTCGTCCTTCCATGCGTCCCTCCATGTGTCCCTCCGTACGTTCGTTCTTCCGGCTGTCCATCCGTCCGTCCATGCGTCTGTTCGTGCGGCCGTCCCTCTGTCTGTCTGTCCATCAGCCCGTCATTCCGTCCGTCTACCTGTATGTCCATCCGTCCATCCGTATATCTAGTGAACACTCCAAGTACAGCCATCTCACATCTTTTCATCAGGTATTCATCATATAAAAGTGCCGCCATCCAACGGACATTCTAAGGACCACTCTTTCGGGTATGTGCCACCGGTGGCTACATATACCATCAGAGGATGGACAGACCCACACCTTAAGGAGCTTCGTTCCTAAAAACGAGCCGCCTTGATCTTACACAGTCAGGCTGTAATTGCTCATATGAGTGATTCGGCCACATTATCCGTGACAATAGTTGAGCATGAGATATCAATGGTGATAGCGACATACAATAATGGAAGGAATTCCTGCAAAACGGCAACATATGTTGATGGTACTACGACCTCTACTTTTGCCAATGTGCAAAAAGCTGTCTCTGGCAACAGAAACGACCCAAAGTGGTTGCTTCCAGTGAGGCCCTTTGAGGGCGCTGCCTTTTTTTCTTGTGGGCGTGAATACAGTCACATGTTTTCTTATGTTTCGTGGGCTTTCTTTATTCACAGAAAAAAATGAGCACGTAATTATTAAGTTGTTGAAAGTAGCACAGACGGATATCATTTCAACGTGCGCACATCTGCCTTATTGTCATTTAGATAATTAAGCTATGACTTTTCGGATGCAAAAATATTACTATTTGACTAGTGGTCGTTAATGAAAAAATAAGTAGCGCCTACTTGAGTATAATGGGTACAATATGCACTTGGTTTTCTTCACGTAATGCCGTTCCTTCTTTCGTTGAAATCGTGCGGCTTCATAGCTGGGACGCTCCATATATTACCGCTTCATTCTGAGCCTAACAGATTAATTTCGAAGAATTTTCTCTGGCACGTTTGTGCAGGTAATGCAGAACCAGCCTTGTAATGCAAGCCAGTGCGACATATCAGTTTAGGCAATCATTCGTAAGCACCCATGCAAATCGCTTTTCTCAAAATGACAGTGATCGTAATGAAGTGTACTTACTTCTGACTTCCTCAAGGGAATGTACTTGTGAAAGCAGAAGCGAAACACGACGCACATTTTTGAAGCTGCCTGTGCAAATAGATGATTAAACTGAACATCATCGTTATTTCACATCAGTGAAACATGGAAAGAATTCAATTTACTATAACAGAATTTTATTAGGTATAGAATATACGATCCTTATCTGCCCTTTTCATAACACCACATCTAAGATAAAGCTGCATAAACGCTGTGGTTCTGTACGGGAAACACTTCATTGCAAGTTATGTTCACTGTAGGTGGCGTTTTATCAAAGTGGGACGGTAGGTTACCGCTAAGTAATGCAATGATTTGTAATTGCTGCTGGTTAATTATCCCATAACTTACAAATCTTATAACCGCGTCTCTTACAATCTTAACTTAACGCGCATCCACTATCACAACGCAGCCACCATACCTACGAATGCTAGCTGAGTAGAGGAGTGCTGTAACCACATAAGATTGTATTTGCAACATCGCTTCCATGTAAAGTGAATATTCTCAATGCTTCGTCAAAGTCACTGCTCCATGCGCTGTTCAGATAAGTATACATAGGACGCCCTTTTTCTGGTTTCACACAGATTTTTCTGCGTAATAAAGGAAGCTGGTGTAAAAGACCGTAGTTTTACGATGCAGTATTGTTGGTTCTCGGGGAACATGTGAACATAAGAAACATTTTAAATCCAGAAAAGCTGCCCCGCCGTGGTGGTCTAGTGGCTAAGGTACTCGGCTGCTGACCAGCAGGGTGCGGGCTCAAATCCCGGCTGCGGCGGCTGCATTTCCGGTGGAGGCGGAAATGTTGCAGGCCCGTGTGCTCAGATTTGGGTGCACGGTAAAGAACCCCAGGTGGTCTAAATTTCCGGAGCCCTCCACTACGGCGTCTCTCATAATCATATAGTGGTTTTGGGACGTTAAACCCCACATATCAATCAATCAAATCCAGAAAAGCTGGCTCTCAAATTTCCATACCTTCTGGATCATCTTTGTGGAAAACTTGTACTTGGAAACTACTGGAAGAGCACACTTGTCGACCAGCTTCGCGGCGAGTTGTGTGGCCTTCGCCTTTTGCACCATTCCTGTAACAAAAATAAGATAAATACTAAACAACATCAATCGGTGTTGTCATTTGTACAATTATTGAATACGTTAAGAGGAAACTGACTATGCGGTTTCACCTGATAGGAAAAGCCGTGCTCCAGGAATGGCAGCACATTCGAAAGAAACAAGAAGCGACCTGCGCGGTTTCATTGACTAGGCCCGGTATAGCGCACATGTTTATTTATATTGAAGGTATGGCGTTAATATGTAAAAGCAAATTACAAGCGGTTTCAATAAATAAGTGAGAACACACCCTGTAAAAGCGCAGTGCTGAATGGTTGCAGTAGCTTATCAACTAAGGCGTAACTGTACTAAGTTTGAGGTCGCGGGTTCAATTCCAGGTTAAGGTGGTCGCATATTTATCTCAAGATTGGGCACGCAAAACCTATCAAACCAGAACTAGCAGGGCTGATGTGAGTCGCTCGCACCATTAAGGAAATGTTATGGGTCCCTTTGTTGTGGGATACAAATGTGTTTAAAATTACAAAACAATGAACACTGACGGAGAGCGGCAAGACAGTGCATATCAATTGCTTGACGCCGAATGACGCCAGTCTTCATACATTGTTCCTCCTTGCAGGTATCGGTGCAAATGCACCAAAATATGCACCGTCATGACAAACCAGGGATAGCTGTTACAAGCTCATGAATGTGTCATCTCCGAGTGGAAACATTAATTCTGCCGGTTTGTTCTGTTGCGAAGCGTGCCTCCGACAACGTTACGCAGGGCGCCACGAATCTCACCACTGCAACCACTGTTTCGAAAGACGGCGACGCCAACACGGTCCCGAAGGCGCCACTGCTTCGAATTCCGCCGGGAAGGTCACCAGCCGTTTGGTAGCGTAGGTTTCTCAATTCGCGACTGCTTCTGCGCAGAGCTGATAGACGAGCGGACGAGATGACGGTGAGTTAAACAACGTTTATGTACAGCCTATATACAGAGGCATTACAAATTCGGCACTGGGGCCGACAGCTTAGAGACCCGAGGAGCCGAGCTCTCCTCTCTAACACATAGGTCTACTGCTCGTGATGCGCCGCAGGGTTTTTTGTTATATGCACCGGGTGGATTCTATGAGTAACCAAATGTCCAACCAGAAGCACCGCTGGTCGTGAGGTCAGAATTCTCCAATGGGGTCGCCGCTGGGCTGCGTCATCGAATCTGAAGCCGCTGCGCTGCACGTGGCTGCACCCAAGGACTAGTGACGTCACCACGCATTGCGTCAGACTCGCCAGACAGGAAGGCGCCAGCTCGCTGGCTGAGGTGACTCACTGTGCGTGCGCGGCAGAAAGGCACCACCTCGTGATGACGCCGTTGAGTTGTTCGCGTCAGGCGGGCTCGCGTGCTGGCCTTGACACATATTGTCTTTTTCAGAGGCATGGACGTTCGCTGTGGACTCGCAGGCATAACAGTTCTCGCGCATGGCTAGAGGACCTTCCACAGCTTTTCGGCTTCGTTTGATAGCGGCGGAAGTAAAATAATTTAGGTGCGTTCACTCCACCCGCCGCGACAGAGAGCGCGTTCAGATAATGTTTGCCTTTAGAACTGCACTGGCCGCAGTTTTGGGGGAGGGGCGGGGGGGGCGCTGCGACAAGGCATATTATAGAGTGCCTTCATGCGCACGCCGGTGCACACATGAAGGCTCCCTAGCACCTGATAGAGAGCACATGCAGGTTTCCGAGCGTCTACTAACCTGCCCTCGATTCCCCCTTTACTCTAGACATTTCTCCCCGCAGCGTCTCGCAAAGCCGACGCAGGCAGCGTCTGCTAGAGAGATTCTTCATTAAAAAAATCACAGCATATTCACGGAGTGCATGATGATGAGCGGTGCGAAGCGTTCGTCAGTCTATCCGTGCTTCCACCCGTCGGCGCGTTCATTCGTGCACCCATCCATGCATCCATTCGTCCATCCGTCCGGCTATGCGTCCGTTCTTTCGTCTGTGCGTCCGTGTATCTGTTCGGCTGTCCATCCGCCCGTGCGTCTGCATATCCGACCGACCATCAAGTGAATTCTCCAAGTAGTGCCAATTCGCATCTTTTCAGCCCATATTGTTGCCGTGTACTATCGATAGAAGCAAGCGTAGCACTTTATGTAGGCGTCGGAGAAGGTTCGCGCTCATTACAGAAATGTGTGCTCCAGTATCTATAAGAGAAAATATGTTCACACCATCAACGTCAACGTCTAACAAACTTTGTCTCGTTGGAAGCGTCAAGAGAGTATTTTCGGAGGAAGTCGATAAAGCAGCGTCACCTCCTGGCACTGCACCATTTAATTTTCCGAATAGGCAGGAGCGGCGTTGAATGGGGACGACGGCCTGCGAGTCTGCGGTGAGCGAGACGACGGGCGACGTCCTTGAGGCGAACGCTACGAATGACCATGCGGTGACGGAGATGGGCTGTTGAACCTTCTGTATAGTTGTTTGCCAAAGAAGGCTGCACGGCACATGCAAAGCGGGGGCTGTCCTGCACAGTAAAAATTTTTACACCCAGAAGGGTGTAAATTAGGTTGTCCCGTGGACGACACCCTAAGGGTGTTAATTCAGCACCTTCCAAAATGGGTGCTTTTTCATGCACCCTTACAATAGGGTGTACATGAAAAAAACTGTAGGGTGTTACAAAAACACCCTTAAGGAAGGGTGCCTTCGATGTCCATCAATTTTTTAGCACCCTCTGAGGAGGGTGCAAGAAGGGTGCACAAGGGTGTTGAGTGCCCATGGCAGAGGTGCCAGTATTCTTTTAGACTGCACTAATAGATATCAGCATGCACTGATTACACACTACTTGAAGAAAGTGGTCCTTATTATCAATGGTGCGCCGCCTGTCGAGCTCCATTCATTGCGTCTGGGCAAAAATATAAACGCGTACTATCGTGTATGAACTTATGCTGGATCTATATATACTTCACAGTATATGCATAATGCGCGACAGAAAATGAAGCCTTGCTGCCCTTGCATATTGCGTTTATTTAAATGGCAAATAAAACATAAACTTTTCTTCTGCCACACAACTTTTTCACCAGATATACGTTCACGTATACGTACACTACACATGCAACACCTCAAATGTTTATTATATTTATTCAGTTTCACTTCATAGACAATTCTTTGCAACATACAATTACACTGGTTTCAGTTTAGTATACTGCTTCGAGTACATAGAGACTACAAATGAAATATACGCTAATATATCCCTATAATTCTTTCAAGTATCTACAATCCCAGTGGTTTTCAGTTTAATACTCCTTCATGTACACAATCGGTTAATAGGAATGAAATACAGGCAAATATATACTTATGATTCTTTCAAATATATACAATCACCATGATTTCACTATATACGCCTTCATGTACACAATCGTTCCCAAGAAGTGATGCACACAAAAATATATATGGATAGTGTTTTCAAATGTATACAATCACAGCGGATTAAGCTTTGTATTCCTGGATGTATAACAATTGGTTATGAGAAATGATGTACATGAAAACATATACGGGTTTTCGCACATATAACTCTAGCGAATACTTAAGAAACCAATAGAATGATCAGAAACACAATCAGCTAAAAACGAACACAAAACTGAGTCAAAACACACAAAAAACAAAGGTAATGCATAATTATGGCTAATGACACAGCTGGGTCACTTTATGCCAAATGTCCCAGCTATTTTGGCAACCATTTCAAATGTATTCGAAAAACTCGTGCTGCATTGAAAATAGTGAACTTCTGGAATATTTAGGAGAGGAAAAATATTTCGTCACGTGGCTGCCCTCTGAACTTCCTGGAATGCCGTCTAGGTGTTGTATGTCAAAAATTTTATTTTAAAAGCACCGCTCCTTCTTTCCATACGAAACTCGGTCTACGTGTTACGTAACAAGAGCTTAATTTGGGAGAGTTGGTTCATCGTGGTTGTGTGCTAGTCACAGCGCGACA